AACAAGGCGTGGGGCTTTGGGAAATTGATGTCACCTTAGGCCCTGGCTGCCTTTGTATCAGTATCGTGTCTGTATCTACTCCATTGCCTCGTTACAACCGGGTTCGACCCAGTTCGCCGTGTCGCTGGCGGGCGGCGGGAAAAGCAATTCACCAACGGGAGGCAATTGATTTACAGGGTGCCGACGAACAGGGTCGCGAGTTGACCAGGTCCAGCGTGCCTGCATCAAGTAGAAAACACACGCTCCCCATTAGCATGACGGGATGCATGGAACAGCCGTCGACGGGAGCCAAGATAGGCGAGGAGTCACAGGCGCCAGTATCTCCTCATGATCGTGGGGGGCCTATCCCCCGTGGCCATCTATCTTCCAGCACCCACACTATCAGTGAGACGGCAAGCAGATGACGGTATGTATGCTTGGCCTTATCATTCACGTGGGATGCGAGAACGGGATGGTGCGCCTTGACGACATGGCAACTGACCTCGAGTCTGCGCACATTAACTTAGCCAAGCAACGGCAACGGGCTGCGTCCGCCTTTGGACTACTTCGCGGAGTCGACGACACTACAAGCGCGGCCCTATCGTCATTGACAATCTCTTTGAGGTTCAGCTGTGTCCGCGATTGAAGCGGACGTGGCGACGATTTCGCACACGTTTATCCACCTGACCACACTCCCGAGCACCGGCATTCGTCCCTAGTCCGTAATCATAACCTTCTCCATCGAAGAGCGTGTCTCACCACCGAAAACGGCAAGGAGGTTCTGTACGATAGATTAGCTGAACCGGGGCACGGGATCCGGCGCATCGGCGTCGGCCCAAGCAGAAACACCACAATCACCTCGTGGCCCTCCGACGCCACAAGGTCTTGTTTGTCATCGATACTATTCATCCATTGCTTGCTGTCAATAGTGTCTCGCGGGCGTCGCCCGAAACATACTGGATATTGCCCCTGTACAAAGCGAACAGGCAGCATGCCCCCCATCAGAGCGTTGTGTGGGTTTGGGGATGGAAGGGGACCAGACGCACGCACAAGGGTGTGCCGCCAGAGCGCTTGAATGGATGCGAATGGCAGCTGTCATCTGAAAGTCGTACAAGTGCCCTCCAAACCTTATGCTCGTTCGAGCCCCTGGCGCGATGGCAAAGGATGGGCCGGGGCGAGCTTGGCTGTCTGGTCTAACACCCTTAACGACTCATGTGACAGGTCTCTTTGACATTGGCCCTTTGAGAAGCCTGCTTCCCGAGCGGTGGGCGCCGAGCTATTGTGGAGAGGACTCAGTCTGGTTTGAAAAAGAATAAAAAAAAAACACAAAGTCCACCGTGTGCTCGGGCTGGAATGGGGATCTGTGCGCGGGCGAACTATTGGATGCGCCTATGTCGATGGTCATGAGCGCCACCGGGTCTGAGAACACGAGTGAGTGGCCGGCACTTCACGAAACGAACCCGAGGCTGAGGTCGTCCATGCTGTCGCTTGTCGTTAGCGAACTGGACCAGCACCGTGGCTTGAACCTTCCTGCCTTACTTCAGCGTTGCGGGGGAAGGGGACCCTACCAATATCTATCGTGGATGAGACGCATTACTCGGCAAGGTTTGATGCCTGGGTGGGCCACAGGAACCCAGCAGGTGGGGTGAGGAGAGAGTAGCCTTTCAGGTCTGTCTCGGGTTAGGGTGTATCAAGGATAAGTCTCGGTTATCAATGCGTCATGGACGACACGAGACGGCAACGATGGACCTCCGGGCGAGCTCTTGTCCGTCTATTGGGGGGCTCTGGCTCTTGCTCTGGCTTTGTCTGGCTGGTCTGCGACGTCTGTCTCGACGACATAAAGTTGTGTCGTCTCATTATCGTGGATCATGGTCATGTTACGACAACGCCATGTGCTCCGCTTCGCTTGACAGGTGCATAGGTTCACCGAGGGGGCCGGGCGTGCTTGTTTCTTCTCGCTTGGCCTGGTCAAGGACCATGAGACGAGAAGTTGGACGAACAACGTGTTCTGGGTGGCCTGACAAATTGGTCATCATAGCTGTAAAGCGTATGATTGCCAACGGAACTCGGCAGCTACAACACCAAGGCACCACGGCTGCGAGTCCGGTTCCGGTGTGGCCGGCTGTGGAGACGTTCTGCCGGGCATTGAAATGGTGATGCCTGATGGCAACAAATGCCACGTGTCCGGCGATAATGCCTTGGTCCAGATGGGGCGGGGACCCTGATTGTAGGAGTACCGCTTCGAGGCCTTGGATTGGGCATCACGAAAAAGCTCGCCTTGTTTACTGTTAGAAATGCCGATGGATACCTCCAAGTCGACGGCACCCGAATTTGAGCAGGCATGAGAACAGCTCGAGGCGTCCAATTGTCACGTATCGCAAGCATGATAGTTCCGTGCTACCAACATGAATCGCTTTGACTCCACGACGTATGAGCTCGGGACGATAGCGTATCTCATCACAGGACTACACTACCAGGAACTACCCTCGAACCAGCGAAAGGCTTGCAAGACATATTGGGGCACCAATGCAAACATAGTTTGGGTGACGCAGTTGATACTCGGGCACTGAAACAGCTCACAGATGCGAGATACGAAACTCAATTTCGTGATCGATGTGCTGCTGCCTGTATAGGGAGGGAGCTAAAGTTCAATGCGATATAGCAGAGTTCATGTGTGATGTCAAGTGTACGAGGCGCCGCTCTAGAGACAGGGAGACCAGTTCCTCGGCCAGAAACATACGCTGAATATGAATGTAGAACGTGTCAGGCAACGCAGAGAACCAGCACACGAGGTATGGTCAGTCCTAAGAGTGTACCATGTAGAGTCATCTCGTCCACGCGCCCATCAGCTCACCCGAAATCGGTCCAACGTTTGCAATGGCGGTAATAAAGAGCACAACATTCTCAACCTAACAGTGCGTCTGAATTTGCGGAGTGAGTACCGCAAATATCAAGGCATGACATGCGTGCCAGTGTGGGGTGCAGTCAAATACATCGGCCTGTCATGAAATGGGCTTGAGAGACAATATAAACCCACCACCAGCGCACGTATACCGAGCTACAAAATATAGGGTCCAGCCAACTAGATGTGAACGCAGTCTTTGCTATGTTGACGAGGTACGAGTATATCATCTCATCGGCAGAGAGCGAGGCACACACGTCGTCGACAGCGGTCATGTGCTGTGGCACCCAGGCCTAATGGAGTGACACGGTAGTCGCCATGCTCACTCACAGCATATGTTTCCGAGATGTTCCAGCTGAAGGAAACACTCTTCCTTCCAGTATTACAAGGTTATTCCGATTCTCGTGCAGCTGTCTCGCCGGCAAGGTTCAATGGTGGGCATTAAAAAAAATCATGTTTACAGCGTCATGAGGAATTTGCCGAAATGAAGATGGACGTTGAAGCTCTCGTCAAAGCCTGGACAACGGAGCTCCAATTCAAACCTACAGGATCTCTAAACGACATCCATCCAGGTTCTTCCATCTGTCTCCTTCAACCCTTGACATAGCACCTCGCCGTGCTCTTCCCGCAGTCCTTGGCAGGGCCGTAGTCGCAGCATCCGCCATCGGGCGCACATTCGTAGATGTGGTTCTTAACTCTCTTCTTCTTGATGACCCATGCGCCATTGTCCGTCCACACGCAGTTGCCGCACGACCGGAACTGCTTGCCGCGCGAGTTGCACTTGCAGCCGTTGTACTTGCATGCGCGCTTCTCAAGGGCCGGCGCCTGCCCATTGCTGTCCAGGCCGTCCTCGGCAATGAACGCGCCGAGGCGAGTGATGAGAAGCTCGGGAATGGCGCGCTGGAAGAGAGACGTGCCGGGAGCCGGGACCGGTGCGGCACCGGCAACGGCAGCGCGCTCGGTGAGGGGCAGACGGTCGGCTTCCGGCTCCGGGTTGGCGGAGGTGGAGGCGGAGGCCGAGATGGTAAGGAGAAGGACAGAGAAGATAGGGCCAACAAAGCGCATGGTCAACTGATAAGTCTTGTTCTATTGGCGTATCTGACGCTTGGGTTTGAGAGCTGATCTGATCATGCTGGCAGCGGAACACAAAGCGCTGGCCTTTTTATACCCTCTTTCATCCCTAGAATCACAACTGGACGTCTCTCTGGAAGCTCTGGAAGGACTTCCCGCCGTCTTACTCTCTACGATATCGTCTAAATGCTTCCCCGCAAACAGTTACCTCTCATGCACCACGTAGCCTCACGTTGTGTCGCGTTCAGGTAGGCTGCCGTGAGCTAGTAACCATGGGGTTATACCGTCATTGGGCCGTTTCAACGAAAGCTGAAAGGCAGAGTGCATCCATTGCAAGATGATCTGCACGCCAACGTTGCCTACAAAGAGTGCTGGTGAAGGTCGTTGGCTGGCCTATCTGACAGCACAGCAACCTGTCGAGCGAAGGGTCATTAATATTGCAATGTGTTTCTTGTGCGGCATAGCACGGATGGGTTTACCGTGCTACATATCGATCTGGGGATCCATATGGGACCAAGCTGGCCCAAGCCAATAGTGTTTGCAGTGGCTGCATGCAGCAATGTTTGGATGCCGATTCAGCTTCGGC